ATCTAAACTCACCCCAAGCATATTCTGCATCTACAAAAGTGGCTCCCTTAGCCTTTTTTTTTTTTTGCAAGTCATTAGCTTATGCTTCAGCCAGGTGACTCACTTTCTCTTTTCTCCCCACCCCACGTTTCTCTTGCTAGTCATCCTTCCAGTCAACTTCTTATTGGTTAGCGCTCGCTAACTTGTGCCAATCATCATTACACCCAAGATGTGCTGTTTTTCTCCAGAGTGGGGCTCAAGTTATTAACTTTGTCATTTCTGTTTTTTTTTCAACCCTAACTCAGTGATTTCTACTCTTTGTCTCTCCACTCCGCTCCTAAAACAAAATTAGACTGGAGGAGAGAGAAGGGGGCGGCAAGGTTTTGACCCCAGATCCCCTTTTTGAAAGCGAGTCCCGCGCAAAGCCCAGCGACCTCCCCATCCGTGCGCCCAGGCTCGCCCGCCTGCCTTCCTGCCCAGTTCCAGCCTCCTGCCATCGGACTAGACCAGTGGTCCCCAATGTGGAGCCCACACCCCACAGGGGGGCAATTTAAACCTTGTTTAAAACCAGGTTAGTGGTCTTTTAGGCTTCCTCCACGGGAGTAGAGTTCACTTTTTGAGTAAAGTAAGAATTATATGTTTACAGGGGGTGGGGGCATCAGGATTTTAGAGATACTTAGGCTCCTGCGAGGCATCCCTCAGGAATCCCAAGACCTGGCCCCAAAGGAGAGCCCAGCGAGCCATCCAACCACCCAAGGGAGCCACCCTAGGGCTATCCAGGTCCCTCTGGCCGATATTGCAAGGTCCCCAAACTTGGCAACTTTAAGCCCTATGGACTTCAACTCCCAGAATTGTCCAGCTGGCTGGAGAATTCTGGGAGTTGAAGTCCACAAGGCTTAAAGTTGCCAAATTTGAAAGACCTCTGCCGTGCGAGCCTTCGCGCCCTTTCCCGGGAGCAGCCCCGAGCCGCTTCCGAGCCGGCTGCCCTCGCCCCAACTTTACCTCCAGAGCTTCCCCAGCGTCTTGCTCAGCTCGGCGTTGTGCAGGTGCGGGTACTGGTCGGCCAGCTTCCTCCGCGCCGCTTGAGCCCACACCATGAAGGCGTTCATGGGGCGCTTCACGTGGGGCTTGTTCTTACTGGATCCGTTCACCCGGACGGGCATGGGCACCAGGGTCCAGTCGTAGCCCTTGAGGACCTGGCTGACGGCTTCCCGGATGCACACCGGGAACTTGTCCTCCTCGCTCTCCTTCTTCAGGTCCTGGTCGCTCTTGGGGTAGGTGTTCTCCTGGGGCCTGGTGTTCTCGGCGTCCGAGCCGGAGCCCGAAGGGCAGGGGGACCCCGCGGAATCCTCCGACATGGTCGGGCTGGGAGCGCCGGACAGACACTTCTCCTGCTCTTCGGTCATCTTCGCGAAGGGGTCGAGGAGATTCATGCGAGAAAAAGGGCGAAGGCAAAAAATATAAGCGGGCGGGCGCGGGGGGGAATAAAACAAGAAAAAATGGAGGCGGAGGGGAGAAAGGGGGCGGGGGAGGAGAACGGGGAAGGGAGGGGGGGGCAAGAGAGACGTCTCTTTTAAGACCGGAGTGGAGAGGAAAAAGCCCCCGCGCGCGCGCCCCACAGGCTAAAGCGTCTCGCGCTCCTAGCGCCAAAAGAAAAAAAAAGCCGCGGTGTTTGCAGAAAACTCGGCCGGCAGGCGCGCTTGGCGAAGTCGCCGCTGGAGGAAAACCCCGCTCTCAAGAAACGCGCATGTGGACTGGCTTTTCCCGCTCCGTCCGAAGCGGAGTCGGTGAGAGGCGAAAGTTGAACGAGGTGGAGAGAGAGAAAAAATATTTCCCTATTGAAAGAAGGGAGGCGAATTCCTCGGTTTGAGGGTGCGCGCGTGTGTGTGGAGAGAGGTGGGGCACGCGAAAAGTCGGAAAAGCTCCCCCCGAATCGCCTGTTGCGAGGCTCAACCTCGGCTCTCCTAACGCTCACTTGCGGCTCTCTTTAATAAATACCTCGCCTCTGCTCCCATTTCGCCGTAGAAACGCCAATGGCAGCCCTGGCTGGGAAGGGCTGGCACGGCGTTGATTGGCTGGAAAAGTTTTTTTCCTCCCTCTGAAGAGGGAGGGGGCGCCGAGGCGAAGGGAGGTCTCTGTATTTCTGTGTGTTTGTGTGTGTTTGTGTGTGTGTAAGAGAGAGAAAGTTGGTCGCACGCTGCAGTTGGCCCTTTGTAGTTTCCCAACTGTTGCGGGAATTGTGATACCTCCCAGTAAATTTCTCCTTGCTTTTTTTTTTCGACCCCCCCCCCCTATCGATCGAAGCAGATCTTTGGGGGTTGTTTGCAGAGGGGAAGGAAGGGCTTGACGCCTCGCTAGCAGAAGTATCTTCTTTCTCCGAGGTCCCGTTTTTTTCGGAGAAAGAACTTGGTTCTTTCTGTCTCTCACCCTCCTCCTCTTCCTCTTCCTCCCCCCCACCCCAAGTCAGTGTTTTGTGACTCATTCTCCTAGGGGAGGGTTTTGTTTTGATTTTGCTCATCTTAATGCTTCGCTCGTGCTGAAAAGTTTCAAGACGAAGAAGGAGACAACGCGCTAAGCTGCCGTTCGCGGGACGGGTGGCGGTATAGTGAGAGGGAGAGGAAGAAAAAACTAGATACTTGTATAAGGCGACTTTTTTTTTTAGTCATTTAGAATAATCTTCCTAAACAAGCGGTTAGTAATCTCCTATCACGCTTTGTGCAAGTAAGGCTAGAGGCCTATTTGTCATTTTTTTTAAAAAAAAAGTGTTTAAATGACAGCTCAACCTTCTCTAAACGAGGTTATCAAAATGCTTCCTTTTATATATGACCAGAGTTCCCTTTCGGATTGTGTTGACTAAGCATTTGTAAAGTAAAAAATATAGCAGGTATATACCTAGGTTAGACTTCCGATTTAACTTGGGAATTAACCTTCCTTTGCATCCAGTAGGACTGAGTTAAACCGCACAGAACGCGGACTGCCTACTTTTAGGAAATGGGAACAGACTACGCTTGCAAAAGGGAATATACGTATATCATAATCAGAGGTGCAGGGTTTTTTTCTTTTAAGCCAAGTCCTTTCTATTAAAGATCTGAGTTTGCTTATTGAACGTATTGACAAACTTCAGATCAGAGTGTATATCTTCCACTGACCTCCTTCCCTCAGACAGGCGAACAATTTTACTAAATTAGTTGTAAGGGCCACGAAAGTCGTCGCTGATTTCAGAGTGCGAGACTGAGCTTTTAAAATTAAGGGCTGATCCCCGGAATATTTTTTCTTATTCTAAAATTAATTGAGGCAGAGGAGGAAAAGTAGGCCACTGACCAGACGATTAAGTTGTCAGTGCAAAATCCCAGGGCAAGTGAGGCGGAACAGTAAAACCAAGCAATCTGAAAAGTCAAGGTGGCCCAAAAAGAAACCGGGCGCACTTGGTGATGGATTGGCCTCTTGATATAATAGCCCTTTCACCGAGGCTGGAATGACAACGCGGGCATCTTCTGCAAACGCAAGGTCTCTTAGGGACCCCGTCGGCGATGGCATTGCTTCCCGCATTGTCGATTCTTTAAATCATTAGCTGTCGTGTTGTCTTGCCTGGGAGGACAGGCGCCTTCCCTTGGCTTGGTTTGGCTTGCGCTTTTTCCACTCTCCTTTCAGTGTCGTTTTTTTTAAACTTGGAATTTAACAGTTATTTCTCTATAAACAAATCACCTTTGCGGCAGATACAGTGTAATTCTCAGTTCCATCCAGAGGGGGCGCCATAGGCTCAGAAACTAACCGCCTTAGTGCTTATGTTAGAGATGTTTCTTGAAGGTTGTTAAAACGCGCGCACACGCACACTCCTATGCATGCAGAACACGCCCCCTCCCCACCGCGCACACTAAAACACGGATTAAGTCTCGGGCGATTTCATCAGTCAGCCTCCAATGTCATATATTTTCTTTTGCCCCGTTTGCGATTCAAGGATGAAATGAATGAAATCTGCTGATGAAATCGCATTAAAGTCAATGCAAGTGATAAACTTATCAAAGCCTTTAGAATAATGGGGCAGTTCTTGCTTTCAAAGATGTTTATAAAGGTGGCCGTGGCGCTGACGCGGAGAACGGAACTTCCCCCTGGCTCTGGCTACTTCAAATCACCTCTTCGCGACCACCTCCCAGTATTTTCTTAGGAGTGCAACAGTGGCTTCTTTACATTATCATCCATTTACCACGCTCCCCCCCTTGTATTTAAGGCTGCATAGATATGCGCAACATTGACACACAATTGCGTATCAGTAGGAAATATAGACACGCGGGGTGCCCGATGAAGACGGCCATAATTATTTATCTCGGAATAAATCTCGTGGAAAAACAACTTGGGCAATACTAAGGTGGAAAACGTTTGGTTGACCTCAGTGGATCTCATTTGCCAGATTACATGACGAAGTAGCACATAGACATGTGTTTCTCCCCTCCGAATTATTTAAAGGAAAGCCATTTTTGAAACCCAATCCCTCCCAGTTGCCAAAAGATGCTTATTCATTCCCCCCATCCCAGTGCGCCAAGTGAGGTCGAGGTTGAAAGGGATACGCGCAGCCGTTTCCCGCAATCCCGAGAGAAGAGAGCGAAGGAAGGCAGCTGCCTTGCCGTCCCGAGTGAGAACGGGTGAAGCAACTGCCTGCCGCAATTTGCCTGCACCTCTTAGCTCCTCCGAGCCTGAACCAACTCACGGACGTTTCAGCCGGACATTTCTTAAGAGAGATGTTCGGTTTCGAGACACTGCAATCTTAAATTGAGATTGCTCTAGTTTGGCTAATTCGTTTCGCAGACTGCAGAGGTTGGTTTCTTAGGTGCATTTTTAAAAAAATCGTTTCACACGACCCTATGATTAAAGTATCACAATTCCCATTGTAATATGATCGCCATTTACATCAATACAGGGAAACATGAAAGAGTGCCCTGTTTGAGGTTTGTTTTCGTCCTGTCCGCTTTTTTTTTTTGACCTGCTCTCTGCTCTTCGCTCAACGTCCATACTGGGGCGAGAATTTACACAAGCTCTGAGGTTTTTTTTAAAATCCCCGTAGAACGGAGTTGCTCTCTTGCAAAGG